CTGGGGCAGGGGCGGGCTCGGGGGCGGAGGGGCCCGCGCGGGGGGCGAAGGGCAGAGGGCGGAGTGAGGCGGGGAAGGAAAGGGAGAGGAGGAGAGAGCGGAGCGGGAAGGAGGGAAGGAGGAGGAGGAGGAGGAGGAGGAGGAGGAGGAGGGAAGGAGGAGGAGGAGAGGAGGAGGAGGAGGAGGAGGAGGAGGAGGGAGGAGGAGGAGGAGGAGGAGGAGGAGGAGGAGGAGGAGGAGGAGGAGGAGGAGGAGGAGGAGAGAGCGGAGCGGGAGGAGCAACAGGAGGAGCACTGTACTTTAGCGCTGGTGCCCTGCAGGGGTGGCCGTAACCCTTTGTGCGTCGGGTGGGGCGCGTGGGCCGTCCCACACTTGCACGTCGGTGTTGGCGATGGTGGGGAAGCCCCACCTCACACGGAGTGGTACAGGGCAGTTCTTAATACACAGGTTCTTTACACATACAGGATGTCGAACACAGGATCAATGTATGAATGCATGTATGCATGAACGCATCGTTGTTTTTAATGCTACATCCCTGCATTTTGTATACACGATCCGCACGCGGAGCATGTAAGTAGTAAAAACGGCACTGCACAACGGACCCTCCGACGGCATGCGCCTGCAGTGGTGGTTGGCTCGCGTGCTCCGCACGCCCTGGCAGCCGGCTCTGCCATTTTCGACCCTGGGAGATCTTGGACAGTCTGTGAGAGTGAGTGGGGCTACTCCAGCCCCTTGAAACATGCGGGTGAAGGGCACGATGTTGTCTACGATGGACGTGTTGTTACTCGGCGTGTCGACATTGGGCGAACGGGGGAGGGGGGGGGGTCTGGCTCCGGACTTATGCTCAATGGGACCCTTTGTCAGCAGAGCGTCCTGTGGGGGAGACGCCATCCGCCCGAAACACGATCCAACAACAGCCAAGATCTACTCCACTGGGGGGGCGAGGGAGATTCCGTCTCTTTACAACCCGAACGACACTTCACAACCGAGATAGGTCACGTTACAACCAGCACAAAATCTGAGTTTATTCTCTTTCGTTGAGAACGACCACTGTGCAAATATAACAGACGCTTTGCAACCAGAACGGCCCATTTTACAACCCAGACAACCAGAACGGCCACTTCACAACCAGCCTTCCAAAGTGCCTGAGCGCTCCGCAGAGGCTTCTGAATCGTGAGCGCTCTGCAGAGGCGTCTGAACGCCTGAGCGCCCTGCAGAAGCTCCTGAGGCTTCTGAGCGCCTGAGCGCTCTGCATCGGCCTCTGACCGCTTGAGCTCTCTGCAGAGGCTCTGAGCGCCTGAGCGCTCTGCAGAGTCATCTGGGCGCCTCAGCGTCCTGCACAAGCTTCTGCCGCTTCTGGGCGCCTGCGCGCTCAGAAGCCGCGGATTGCTTCAGAACCAGCTCCACAAAGCTCCAGTGCATGTACAACCTAGGAATACGTTGGAATGCGTAAGCTTGTCGCACGGGCTCCTAAGGACGTTTGAAGAATCCGTTGGATGTTCGACTCTTCTCATGGGATTCCCATTAGATTCTTCTTTTCTGAGGATGTCTATGAGATTCCCAGAAGATCCCCATGATACTCCCAAAGGATTGCATCTATATGAGGATTCTGATGGGACCCACATAGGATTCCAGCACGATCCCATCGGAATCCTTTTCTATGGGGACTCCAATTGGATCCGCATCGGGCTCCTCGTATAGGAGGATTCCCACAAGATTTCCATCGAGTTCGTCCCACTGGAGGTTGCCGCTGGGCTTCCCATCGGAATCCCATGAGATTCCCATCGGGGTCATCTTGTCTGCGGACTCCCATCGGATACCTGTAGGACTCTCTTTACACGAGGATCCCCATAGGTTTCCTGTGGACTTCCTAGAGGAATCTCTTTCAAGGAGAATTCCCATCAGATTCCTCCGATATGCCCATATGAGAATTCCCATCGGATGCCCCTATCTGCGTATACGAGGATTCCAATAGGACTCCTCCGAAATGCCGATATGATGATTCCCATGTGATTCCTCCTGTATGCCGGTATGAGAATTTCCACCAGATTTGTTCGATACGCCGATGTGAGGATTCCCATCGGATTCCTCCGGTATGCCTATCTGAGGATTCGCATCGGAGTCCACCATTATGCCTATATGACGGTTCCCGTGGGATTCATCCTGTATGCCGATATGACGATTCCCAGAGGAAGCCAATAGGGGTTCTTTCTATTTGCCTGTACGAGGGGTTCCCATCGGAAGCCCCTCCTCGTAGCGGAGGATTCCAATAGGATTCCCAGAGGGGTCTTCGTATAGGAGTTCCCCGCAGGAGTCCATTCGGATTCGTGTAGGAGGACTTCCATCGGATTCATCGTATAGGAGGACTCCTATCGGATTCTTCGTGTAGGAAGATTCCTAGAGGAATCCCAACCGATTCTTCGTATGAGGGGAATTCCCATAGGAGATCATCATGCTCTTGACATTTTCTTGTGGACGTCAATCCAGATTTTACATAAACGGGGTCGGACCCTTACGTGACGCCATTGGAAAAAGTCAGTCGTGAAGGCTGTGCCACTAGGCCCGGCCCGGTCGTGGAAGCAGTACCGTTGCCTACTACTGATAGCAGTAATCGTAGTAGTAGTAGTAGTAGTAGTAGTAGTAGTAGTAGTAGTAGTAGTAGTAGTAGTGGTAGTATGAGTACAAGTAGTAGTTGTAGTAATACGTAGTCGTAGTAGTAGTTGTTGTAGTAATAGTATTAGCAGTGATCGTAGCGGCAGTAGTAATACTACTAGTAACAGTAGTAGTAGTAGTAGTAGTAGTAGTAGTAGTAGTAGTAGTAGTAGTAGTAGTAGTAGTAGTAGTGGTCGTAGTAATGGAAGTAGCAGTGGTAGACGTCGTAGTAGCAGTAGTACTAGTAGTCGCAGCAGTAGTCGTAGTAGTAGTAGTAGTAGCAGTAGTAGCAGTAGCAGTAGTAGTAGCAGTAGTAGTACTACTGGCAGTAGTAGTAGTAGTAATAGTAGTAGTAGTAGTAGAAGAAATCGTAGTGGCAGTAGTAGTAGTCACAGTAGTAGTAGTTGTTGTAGAAATAGTAAGAATAGCCATAGTAGCAATAGTAGTAGCAGTAGGAGTAGGAGTAGGAGTAGGAGTAGGAGTAGGAGTAGGAGTAGTAGAAGTAGTAGTAGTAGTAGTAGTAGTAGTAGTAGTAATAGTAGTAGTCGTAGTAGTCGTAGTAGTCGTAGTAGTAGTAGTAGTAGTAGTAGTAGTAGTAGCCATGATTGCAGTCGCAGTAGCACTAGCAGTGGCACTAGCATGAGCACAAGCCCTAACAGCAGCAGTTGCAGTGTCAGTGGCAGAAACAATACGACAAACAACAGCAATAGCCGTAGCACTACGGGTAAGAGTAGCAGCAGCAGCAGCAGCAGTAGCAGAAGCAGTACCAGTAGCAGTAACCGCAACAGTGGCAGCATCAGTAGTAGCAGCAGAAGCAGCAGCAACAGTAGTGGTAGTAGTAGTAGTAGGAGTAGTAGCTGTTGCTGTTGCAGCAGCAGCGGCAGCAGGAGCTGGAGCAGTAGTAGTAGTCGTAGTAGCAAAAGTACGAGGAATGGACGGAGTAGTAGGAGTAGTATTAGTAGTAGTAGCACTACTACTAGTATTACGACTACTACTACTACTTCTACTACTACGACGACTACTACGACTACTACTAATACTACTACTACTACTGCTACTACTACTACTACTAATACTACTACTACTACTACTATTACTACTGCTACTACTACTACTACTACTACTACAAAAACCACTACTACTACTACTACTACTACTACTACTACTACTACTACTATTACTACTACTACTACTACTACTACTACTACTACTACTACTACTACTACGACTACGACAACGACTACGACTACTACTACTACTACTACTACTACTACTAATAATAGAAGTGGTAGTAGTAGTAGTGGTAGTAGTAGTAATAATAGTAGTAGTAGCAGTGCTTGCAGTAGTAGTCGTAGTAGTCGTGGCAGTCGTGGTAGTCGCAGTAATGATAGTAGTAGCAGTAGGAGGAGTAGTAGTATTAGTAGTGGTAGTGGTAGTAGTAGTAGTAGTAGTAGCCGTAGTAGTTATAGTGGTAGAAGTAGTAGTAGAAGTAAGAGTAGGAGGAGGAGGAGTCGTAGTCGTAGTAGTAGAAGTAGTACTAGTAGTAGTAGTAGTAGCAGCAGCAGTAGTAGTAGTAGTAGTAGAAGTAGTAGTAGTAGTACTAGTCGTAGTATTAGTAGTAGTAGTAGTAGTAGTAGCAGCAATAGTAGTAGTAGTAGTAGTAGCAGCAGTAGTAGTAGTAGTAGTAGTAGTAATAGTCGTAGTAGGAGTAGTAATAGTAGTAGTAGTGATAGTAGGCGGGGTAGTAGTAGTTGTAATAGTACTAGTACGAGCACTAAGATGCGAAATAGTAGTAATGGCAACAGTAATCGCAGTATTACCGCTACTGGTTGTAGTAATAGTAATAGTAGTAGTAGTAGTAGTAATAGTAGTAGTAGTAGTAGAAGAAGAAGAACTTGTAGCAGCAATAGTAGTAGCCGTAGAAATAGTAATAGTAGTAGTATTAGTAATAGTAGAAGTGGTGGTGGTGGTGGTAGTAGTAGTAGTAGTAGTAGTAGTAGTAGTAGTAGCAGTAGTGGTAGTAGCACTAGTAATGCCACAAGCATCACATATACATGATGCCACATGAGCACAAGGTGGCGGACAGAGGAACTCGAACATGGCCCGCGTCGGCGTAATCCTGGGTGCAATTGTGCACCCTATGTGACCACCATTCGATTTCCACACGAAGCTCGGGCTCGTCAAACAATACGGTATGCATCCGAACGGCATCAGAGAGGACACAGAAACACCAACCCTGAGGACCCGCGGGCGGCGCGGGACACAGAAACACCCAACGGGGACACAGACACACCCTGTTGCAAACAGAAACTCCTTGTCGCGTCCAGGACCTGCTTCCGTCAGGACCC